CAGGAGTTTGGCAGAGTCAGGCACTGCCAAGATGGTGATGGCGGAGCAGCCCACTCTGAGCTTCAATACCACTCTTCAGAAGGCTATATTATTTACAGTTCATGGTGTGGACCAAATTCCGTGGCTGTCCGGTTGTTGATATGGACCAAAGTTGTGGACCAGTGATTATTGACAGAACGACATTACCATATAGTGCCATGCCACTGTCATGGCTAAAACTACACTTTATAAGCATAAATGAACTTTTTTCCAAATATGAAATATCTTAGTGTCATGTTACATGTACAGCTGCTTGATTAAGTGTTGAACTAGCACATTTTTCATCATGCTCTTATTCCAGTGAACATAGCTGTGCTCATAATGAGCTGATGATGCTCCATAAAGCCTAATTAGCAGTACCTGAAGTAAAGTACTATAACAGAAAGAAGCAAGAACAGAACCAGCCATTCATAATGGATCTGTTTTCCACACCAGCTCCACAGTCCACTGCTCATTTCCGATCATCACTGCTAATGAGTGAATATGGATAATATTTGTCCCTTTAAACTTCACACTGGCTGCAGCTGCTTTGAGACTTTTCCTCTCAGTTTCTACAGCCACATTGCTCATGAAAGGCAGACCATACAAGACAAGCTGTAGTACACACGTAATAACTAAACCTCACTCAAATGAGAGGGAACTAATTAAGTATAAGAGCCAAGTTACAGACTGTGACAGCAATTACAGGAGCAATCACTTCACATCCTTCCTGCCCTCGCCACATTTCATGACTACCGGCTCCTTTGGAAAACAGTCAAATTAAGACTCATTAAGCCCCTCTGAGGTTTTTAATTAAGACACACTTTTATAAGTAAAGATTTGTTCAATATTTCCTACTATATACTCCTTAATTATATCAATAAAGCTGAAGGAATTCCTTGTGAGTGTTGCGCCTAAGCACTGATTGAGTAGTTTATAGAGTGAGACGGCCTTAATAGAGGAAAAGTGCTTCCGGACGTGCAGTTGTAATCCACATGTGTTAGGTTAAAGTATGACACAAAAATGAAAAATGATCGATATTTACAGACTCAGCCATCCACACCCATGCTTTCCTGTTCAATTGATCTGTCATGAACTCAGATGGAAAAGGCTGCTTTTCTTGGACCACGAAACGACAAACTCAGCTTCATGTCATGTCTGTGAGTCACGTTAAACGGCTTTATGTTTGAACTAATTCTACGCTTGCTGTGTGGCAATAATGAGAGCTTGAACCTGATCAAGCTCCAATTACACCGGGTGAGAGGCAGAATACCTGTGTGTGCGTGTGTGTGTGTGTGTGTGTGTGTGTGTGTTTGTGTGTGGCAGTGGTAAACACACAGTGATGTAGTCATTGGAGGAAACTAAGAGTTCCGGAAAGCCTCAGGAATGAGATCATTCAAATTAAAGCGCGTGGCAATTACTGAACAGGCTACTCGCCAGTGCAAGTGCAGGAGAGCAGGCAGCCTGATAAAGAGGTAGACACAAAGTGATTGTGGTGGAACTACTTAACAACTTACAGGTGAGTTTTCATCCAAACAAACACAAATTCTACCCTCTCTTTTACTGAAACAGAGTTCATTTATGCTAAACAAACAAAACTAATGCGTTCATGACACTAATACGCACACACATACACACATACACACATACACACACACACCAAGAAAGGTTTATGTGAAAACACCAGATCCACGGAAACAACTTTAATCCACGTCTAAAAGGCTGTGGTCCCATCATGAAGCGAGCTGCACAGCATTTAACATCCCATTGCATGCTGGTCCCCAGTTGAGGCGGAACACTGTGGTGATATTAGCAGAGGTTGTTGAGACTTTGATTGCAGTTTGTGGTGCAAATAAACTTAGGAATGAACAACACCATTCAGCTTTTCCAGGCTCTTCTGAGGAAATAAACCATTTACCATCTCTGTTTCTCTTTTGTTGCAAACGCAAGACCAAAGGAAATCGCTTTGGTGTTTAAATACTGTTAATGTTCATCATGTTTTTGAAGTTTTCAAGTCAAAAGCATTCACCAATAATATATAATTTCCTGATGTTTGGCATTTAGCCTTCAAAAGAGGATTGTGAAAGTGAACCTTATGTGCTTTAAAAAGTGAAAACGTGTCTTGATCCTGTTTTGCTATGAATTTTGTAAGAGTTGGTTTATCTTCTGTATTGATATTTCTCTTTGGAATAAGACTCTCTTTGAAATATCTTTAATAACTTTATAATAAATCTATACACAACAAACACAGCAGGGTGACTTTCTGAATAAACTGTAACATAAAATAAGTTTGACTTGAAAGAGAGGCCTCTCGCAGTGGAAACTCCCCACAGGAAGATAGTGGTTTACCAAACTGTCCAATCTCTGCTTCACTCTGCACTGATGCAAAGGGATTCATACTGTGTTTCTGTGTGTGTTCTGTTAATGAAAGAGTTGCTTTAATGAGATCTGAAGGGATGAGGCTCTTGAGGACACATGCTGAGGTCCACAGCTGGATCCTCTGCACCAAACTGACGGGGGGATAGAAAGAGAGAGAAAGAAAGAAAGAAAGAAAGAAAAGAAGGGAACCAACAAAAAAGACAGACAAAGGCAGAGATGGGAAAGAAAGAGAGAAATGAAAGACAGAGTAAGGGAATGAGAGATACTGGAAGACAGTGAGATGTCTGCCATGCTTGAAAGGAAGACAGTGCCATCTAGAGCCCTCATGTGACAGTTGTGCATTTTGTGCACAAACATTGCACACAAACATGTTACTGTCATTCGCATACACATATTGGATTACAGCGTATCCCATCTCTGACAGGGTAAAGATATATAATTTGGTTGGATGTTTTCATTTATTCAGTATTTAACTCTCAGTAAGTTGTGGGTTTTAATAGAGATTTCAACTGTCAAATAGCAGCCGGAATGCTGTTTCAGAAGCTTCCCCACTTTGAAAAGAAAATAATTTTTTAAACATGTTTGCAGAAAATCTTTATTTCCACCAAGGCTTTTTCAGAAAGCATCCCAGTGCATCTTCTCAGGTCTATGCCAGAACTTTTTTGGATTGAGAGCCCTTATCTCTCCCTGCTGATGTGCCCCCTGCTGCTTCCACTTGGGGTTCCCAGGCTCTGCATTTTCCACGGGGCCAGTTGGGTTTTCACCAAAATGTGGTTTTCTCAACCATCATGACATCTTGGCTCATTTATCAGCTTCACAGCAATAATAAATGTCCTCATCTAGAGCTTCAACAAGATTCTATGTTATTTTATTACTTCCTCTGGAGGATGTCACATGTTCTGGGACAATAAGGAGGATCAGACAGCAGTAAGGCAGCAGGCATACGAGAGGAAATAGACATTTTGCCCTATCAATAAATTTAGTTATTAACTTAGTTAGCAAAACATTAGTGAGTGGTCGGCAAGCGACAATATCAGCTGGATTACAAGATGACTATGAATCTACAGCCATGCTAGTGGTTCTGTGAGACACAGCAGCGCTTTGAGCACAATGCTAAAATCTGCATGCTAACATGTCCACAGTGGTAATATCAATATGCTGATGTTTACCAGGGAGGTATAATGTTCACCATGTTCACCATCTTAGTTTACTATAGCATGCTAGTATTTGCTAATTATCACTAAACACGAAGTACAGCTGAGGCTGATGGGGCCTGGGTATTTGTACCAGATTACATGGCAATCTATCCAATCACTGGTGAGACATTTCATGATGAACCCAAAATATCAACCTTTATGGTTGCAATGATTGTACCAAATGTCTGAAATCCATCCAGTAGTTGTCGAAAATATTTCAGTCTGGACTGAAATGGTGACCCGCTTACCATCAGACCGACATTGCCAACCCTGGAGCGGTGCTGCCAGTGTGACTGAAAAACACATGTAGGCCTACACAGAATTTACTCATGGATATGAAAAAGATTAATCACATTTTATTTCATTGCTTATACTTGGACCTCCCTTCTCACTTGTCTAAGCAATGCCTCCTTGGATCAATTGAAAGTGGTCCAGAATGCTGCTGCAAGGTTTTTGTCCAAATCCTCTAAAAGGTCAGATTAGCATGTGTTGGTTGTTCCTCATTTCAGGCTTAAAACTAAAGGAGACGGCTTTTGAAAATGGCTCTTATATTGTGTCCTTTTTCTGTATTTTATGTCTTGTCTTTTCTTGTGAAGCATTTTGTGATGTCTCATGAACAGGGCCATATCAATAAACTTAATTCACGTGTTTGCTTAGGATGCCATGTTGCTTGTTCAGGACCTGTTGCATAATAAATGACAAAGTGCCATCAGGAAAAAGCAGCTGTCTTTTATGTTGTCTCTGCAAAAGGGTCTTGTACAATGAAAAAACCTTGACCTTGAGATCCTATGCATGAAAAATTCAAAGTTATTTTTAAATATTCAGAAAGGCCACTCTGCTCACCTTTACTGTGCCTGTTTTATTTAGACACCGAGAGAGGAGAAACACATTTTTGGAAACAGAAAGGAAAGCTCTGTTGGGATTCCATCCTCGGTCCAATTGGCAGCTGATGTGTGGATCCAGCATCAGGGCACATTAATCACTTAACTATCCCATGGTATGAACCTGTTAAAGGGAGACATAATGTACTGTATCTGAGGAGATTTCCCCCTTAAGAGCTGATAAACTAATAAAACTAAAGTTTGCTGATGCTTTGCTGGATCAAAAGCCTGCACCATCTGCACGTTATGTTGCCCTGATACAGACAGAGGGGGGACTTTGTCTCACTGGATTTAACCAAACTTAAACTCCAGAGATTCTGTCAATGACATTGCCTGGGATGTTTTGGACTAAAGCAGATCTGGAAGGGGCTGAGAGGAAAGGGGAAAGAATAATGTGCTCATGTTCACTCCAGGAGATGGCTAACAGAACAGGAAGCATGGAAAGTGACCTTGCTTTTGAATAATCTCGCTGTTTTGATGTGGTGCGGGAGTTTTTAATTGATTAAAAAACAACCAGGAGAGAACACATACTGTAAGTATTTACATTTACTGTAAGCAAATAAGGACATTTCAACAGGTTGAACAGTAAAAATATATAAGAAAAAAAAGCTGTGCAACAGATTGCACAATAGAGAACAGACTCACGGAGAGGGCACCTTTCTAACTGATAAATACAAACTTGGTCTATTCATCACGAATAGATTTCATTCACTTTTCAACAGATTGTGAGCATTACAGAGAAAGTTCCCTTAAATGTGCTATAACAGTGTAAGTTTTCTACAAAGTCTCCTTTGTTGTTTTTGATGTTAACACGTACATTAACAGTTCTAACTTGCTGCTTTTGTCTTAGTCAGGATCCAGGACCTTAAAGGTGGGGTAGGCAGAACTCTAGAAAAAAAAAAAAAAAAAAAAAAAAAAAAAAAAAAACAAAACACAAAAACCCAGAATTTGAAAATACAGCCACCCTCCACGTATACACGCGTTTCATACACACAAGCAACACAGTGGTAGCCGTGAGCCTTAGGATACGGTTAGCAGAAGGCTAAACTATTAGTAACATTCGACATAGCCACTCATCATTTGCTTTCATGGTAAATCTATCTTCACAACCAACCACGACCACACATTTAGATATTACAGGAAAATGAAGCTACCAGCCTGTTACCTATCCTGGAGAAGTGCAGCAAGGTCTCTCCCTCTCTGAAACGCTTCACTGATATTGACACATATCCATCTGAAGGGATATGCACACGCATTTGCAACAGGAACTCTCTCTGAGAAGACCTGTGATTGGCCAAAGTCTCAGGTCACGGGCTAGATTTCCTAAGGCCTGAAACCAGAGCCAAGAGGAGATGCAGACATATAGTTTGCCCTCACATCTCTTGAGTTACAATATACTGAAATTAAATTTTTGCCCATTGACGCCAGAAAATTACTGCCCACCCCAGTTTTAAATTGCTCCTTTTACGGCTTTAATAATAAATCTTCACATTTTATTATTTAGGTTTATCGTTAGTATTTCTGGTTTGATCAATCTTGAGGCCATTTTTCCAAAACTCAATGTTAAGGCACACGGCTAAATAATAATCTATCACAACCCAGCATTCAATGTAAACAGAGCAGAGCCCAGCCCTTACATTGCCAGCCTCATCTGTGTGGTTAACGCATCCAAAGAAGTAGAAATAAAATAGCAACAAACTGCGGTACAAACTTAGGAATTCTGGGTTGCACATTTTGCCATCCACTCTGGCTGAGAGTTGGTAAAAGGCTTTAAATTCAGCTTTACATAAAACATATAAATGAGCAATCCAAGGAGCTGGATCTGAATACTGTTCCTCTGCCTCTGAATGAGTCATTTACTACATGGCGTGTTTTTATAGCAAATAAAATGAGATTCTCACTGTGGCTGTTAAGCTGAAACATGCTACTTGAAGTAGGACCAGGACATATCCTGGCGATTTGGGAAGTCACAAGGCAATCATCTACGATATACATGTAGTTTCCACAAGTCAGGACACATTAAAGCTTCTCTCATAAGTTAAGAAGCATTTCAATAAATGATTACAGTTAACCGGAAGATAGAAGTCTTACAGAATTGTTGACTTTAAAGTGCTTAATAAGTGTTTATTATTAGAAAATAATAAGCAATTAGCAAATTTGGTTCACTATCGTGGGGCCTGTCAGTGAGATTGACTGAGGTTTTCTGGATCGGGTCGGATGAGCTCTGTAGAAGATGAGAAGGTGGGTGGTTGTCAGTTCTGGTGAAGCAGGAAGTTCTTGATGGGCTCTGGTAGAGGTAATGAGGGTATGTGGTTTAGACGATTTTTCCCCATCGCTTTGCGGATCCTGATGCGACACAAGTGTGTCAGCCTACGAGGGCATCCTGACAAGAGAGAAAGCAGAGGAAGGATCTCCTTAGCAGCTGCAACAGAGGAGCAGGCTCAGGTAGGCCATGATAACACGGTATCACTTAATTGACTCCGTTTTCCTTTGTCAGCCGTGTTGTTGGTGGTATCAGCTCCTCAGCTTGTATAGTCTTAGCAACGGTGAGAAAATAATGAACTCTATAATGTATGAAATAATCTTACTCTAACATGCGTGCGGGTGCATGAAGTTTCAAATTGAGAAACAGTGTTACTGTTACTATGAGTTACTATGAAAATGTATTTGAGTTGAAATCCTAAAACCAAATGGCAATGAACTGGGAAAGTCTTTGAACAGCTACTGACAATGTGGCAATAGGGCCTTTTTCACAGCAAACATGTCCCCGTCAGTTACAACAGTGTGACAGCCAGCCAACATTCACAATAGCAGCTCTGTGTCTGAAATGACTCCCTTCTTCACTCATTTGCTATCCCCTGTATAATAGACACTCAGCAGTTTACTCTATGATGGGCAGTTAATTCAGATTTTGGACATGTATTATTGAATGCAATATATATATAATGGAGACTCATCCCATTTCTTTTGAGTTACTACATAAATTTACACACAGAATCCAGACACTAAAATAAAATGGCTGACACTAAACACTGGGCACAACGGTGTATAGTAAAGAGGGAGTAAGTTTGGATGCAACCCAGGACCGTGAAACTGAAGCAGCTAAATGGAACTCAGCCAATATTCATTTAATTATTTATCATTTAGTGGCTAGAAAGCTGTGGATGGACAGTTCCTAGGTGTGAATGTTAAGTGGGGCATCACTCAGACAGATTATTTCCTCTGTGCAGTGGCAGAGTGAGACTCAATATCGCCACAGGAGTCAGAAAATGAAGGGGGGCCCACTGATGTACGGTGGTCTAAAGATGGACGGAGGGTGCTCCTGGCTGCTGACTAACCTGTTGCAGAGGCAGTCAAGGGAACTGCATTTAGGGCCACTACGCTCATAAATTCTACTTTCATTAATGGATTTATTTAAAAGCTGTTTAAAAGCTGTTAAAAATGCTTTACTGTATAGTGGAGAGGAGACATTATGGGGTGGTTGAAAAGCAACAATAATACCATCAGGAACTTACTGTATCCGTCCTCACTGATGATTGCATACTCACAGATTTTTTTTTTCCCCATACATTATTTTTTTTTACTCACTCCTCGCCTCCAGGAAGACCCTGAGCGCCTCGGGATCCACCTTCCTACGGTTGGGAGCCTCCAGCTCTGACTCATCCCAGGGAACAAGAGCCGGGTTGGCCCCGTGGTCCAGCAGCAGGTGGATGAAGGCTTCCTCACATCCATGACGCAGCACCGCATCCAGCAGGCAGGAAGCCAGGCCGCGGGTCAGGGCCTCGTGGCAGACAGGCCCGGTGTAGTTGAAGTCAGGCTGCGCGCCGGCCTGGAGCAGCAGCTGGAAACAGTGGAGGTGGTGGTAGGCAGCGCTGATGTAGAGAGGACACACTACCAAAGTGTTGAGGGTGCGGGCACTTAAGAGGAGCCGGGGACCCAGCTGGTGGTCCATGTCTACATCAGCATTGAACCTGGACAGAGAGAGAACCATGGATACAGTTTCACTTCCTTTTTAAAACCTTGATGCCTCCTGGAGAAAACATACTAGTTGATTGTAGAGAAAATGATCTTGAAATAAATACTTTAGAGGGCATTTTTCATTACAAATTGGTGTTTGTGGCAAGAGCCAATATACTGTACAAATGAGTTATGTGTCTTGATAAAAAAAAAAAATAAAAAAATGGGTAAAATTGACATTGTATGTCCCCTCTTGTCAAATATTCAGCATCAGTGTGATTACTGTCCTCTGTGGGTTGCTGATGTTGACTGAAAAGATTTGTTATTGTGCATTCTTTTTTTAAGCCAGGAAATGACCTAACTTCTGCCTGGAGCAATGGAAAACCTTGCATCACACAGCTAGCAGCAGATCAAATGCTGACCTTTACACAATCCACTGCATAAACAATAAAAAAAAAAATATATATATATATATAGTAAAAAAGAAAATAGGATGGGGTGGTTTGGCATGGAGGGCACCAGCCTTCTCAGTAAGAGCTGTCATCAGTTTCTGTCAGTAGTGCGATAGAAGATAAAACAAATCTGATTGATATAAATCACATACTTTCCAGTTGACTGTGTGAAGCTACTCAAGCAACCCATTTATGAGAAGTAACAAAATTCCATTTGAAAGTGCTTGTTTAACACAGCTGCTGATCACCAGTCCAGTACAGCCGGCTCCCTAACCTCACCTGATGAGCTCCCGCAGTACGTCCAGCCGCCCCACCCGTGCAGCGTGGTACAGGGGGGTGCTGCGGTGGTGTCGGCTTCCGTTGGGATCAGCCCCGGCTTCAAGGAGGATCCGGACACACTCCAGGTGACCGTTGACCACGGCTACGTAGAGGGCTGTCTGGCCTTTGACATCAACTAGGTCCACCTCGGCTCCCTGGCCGATCAGATAGGCCACGCAGGCAGCGTGTCCTGCTGTGGCTGCGATCCGCAGAGGGGTGCAGGGCAGACAGCCACAGCACCACACAGACTTCTCATTGATACGCCTGGCACCAAGGGGGCGAAGGGAGTGGTTATTAGCTGTAGCATTGGATCCAGAAATTTTCTATGTTTTTTTTTTTTTTTTTTTTTTTAATAAAATGACCAGACAAAACACAGACAAAAGCAATACCAAAATCTTAAAAATATCATTGCTGTGCAGTCAGTACATATAAAATACTTACTAAAACTACCAGCTAAAATAAACTGCCTTCAGCACTACTGCTTCAGCCGTGTTGAGACAGGCAGGGCAGGGCAAACCCAGTGAGGTACAGCTATCTGACTGGATTAACAGCATGTTGGAAACCATGTGGAAGAGAGATGAGCTAGTGTAATGTGCTGGCTGGGTGTGTGGAGATTGGAAACAATTATGACCTCTGCAAACAGCCACTGTTTGGATGGGGTTTAATGTGAGTGCTGTACTGGGCTCATCCAGACTCTGACTCTGCATCACAGGTTCTAGTACCTTGATGTGGATGGTAGGATGCCACTAACTCAAGTGAAGTGTTTGTGTTTGATTTGAGCTGCAGACACCAACTAAAAGCAGTGAGGACCCAACTGACAGAGTAAGGTGATCGACGCAGAATAAAACCCACGCAGCACAGAAACCTCAAACAACTTAGTGCCACACATGAACACTCTGGATAAAAAGCTGCCACTTCTGCAGTACCACGGATCACACAATGAGCCCCCGAAGGGACAAACACCCCGAGGTCTGGATCTCTTTGTCTACCTAAGGTCCCATCCCTTCATCTGCATCTCTCTTCTGTGTTCCACTGCCTCACCGTCTGAAGTCGTCTTCCTGCAGCAGGTTCCTCAGCGTGTCCAAATCTCCCACATAGGCTGCATTGTGGAGCCGCATGTCGTCCTGCTCCAGAGGTTTGTCGCAGAACTGCTCCTGAAGCCATTCCTTCAGGTTACGGCCTGGTGAGGACACAGATTTAGGAATAGTAATTGCCATTAACATTTTTAATAACGCCTGTACTTTTTTAACAGGAACAAAGATTCAGAAAATGACTTGTGCAGAAAGCAACGACTCATCCTTAAAGAAGCTGATGTCTGCTACATTATTAATGTTTTCCATTTAATGCCTCTAAACTGATACTCCAGCTGCCTCAGCAGAGATCCCCTAAGTGTTGTCAAGTTACAGAGTGCATAAACAAAATCACATTAGGCCTGTATGCTGGTCGAGGATCCTGCAATTGAGGACTATTCTCACTGCATATCATTGTGTTACATAACTGTGAGTGTCCCTGCTGAATGTGGGAAGAAGCAGTAATTCTGGAGTGAATTTATCCCTCATGTTTCTACGAAGCTCCTGGATTCGTCTCATGGACTGCTGGCAGTCCCTGGGCTCCTACTGGGTCCCACAAATAGACAGGAGCTGTACACAGTAACCAAGCAGCTCCTCGTGTGATTGTTGCAGGGCTATAGTGTAAAGTTGCATTATATTTTGCAGTTGTTCCTACAATTGTCTCCACCCTTTGAAAAACAACACATTCATATGGACCACTTCTTGGTTAAAATCAACCAATTATGACACTATAATTTGTTTAAAAATCAGATGAGGTGCTGGAGAGACTGGGACCATGTTACACCTCTGGAACTTGAGATATACATGTTTACTGGATCTACTGGCCACACCTTATTACACCTCATGTAACATTGTTGCTGTGCTCTGGATTTCTATCTGCTGTCCTCGTCCACACTGTGCAGCCTTTGTAAGGACTGATGACTCATCATTGTTGACAGTTCACTCAGACACAGTTACCTGCAGCAGTAGCACTGGGCAGATCAGAAACTGTGATGAGCGGAGGGAAATTGATACTGGGCGGGTCGTCACCATCAGCCTGTGCCTCTGGACCGTCGGCCATGCTCCTGAAATGTCACACCGTCCACCTGAAACTGGTGCTCCGGCTGCAGACCGACACCGTTTCGGGAAACGCGACGATCCAGAAAAGGATGAATCAAAATAAACAAACGTGACTGTGTTGACGACGGCGTCTGCGTCTGCGTCTGCCCCGCCCACTGCGCTACTTCCTGACTGCGACCAGCTGGACGGATTTAAAGGGGAAACGCAGCTTTTAAAGCCTGAGTCTGAACTGAAGCACAGTTCAACAGTTCTGTGGATGCTAACACCTGGTAAAAGACAGAAATATGACAAAAGAATGTATTATTACTGAAAATGTAATATTTCGATTTTTGATGTTTATAACATCATGTTGATCATTATTCTCTGTGACTTTTATTTTGATGTTGTGTCACAGTCTTCTCCACCTGAATACAATTTTGATGGAAAAATACTATAAAAAATTATATGTTTTGATGGCCAAAGGGAAGTCTTTTTTTTTCTCCCGATGCTACAACCCTCAATAAAAAATACAGATGGTCTCACTCAGTGACCTCGGTCCTAATCCTAATAGTAATAACATGCAGTAAGAGGTTATAGGTCATTGTAATTTAAAAACTGATAAGCACAGACAGAAAAAAAATGGAATATTACATAATTTAGAGAAAGTTGCACTCAAAATACCTATTCTAACTCTGTAGCACAATATGATAAGTGTGTGTATATGTGATACTTGAATCAAGCCCTCCTCCTGGGAGGTTATGTTTGAGTCATGAACCCTTTTTGTATTTTGACCTCTAAGGAAGAAGTTCGGACTTAGCACATACTGTGTTTCTATGCTGCTGGTTGCATGAAGACAGTCTGTGTATAGTGTATACCTATAATGAAGTGTGATCCGTCTTTTTGCTGTGGTGAGTCATTTTGGGGGGGGGGGGGGGAAACGTACACCAGAGAGGCATGCAGCCATGGATCTATGCTGCCGGATGACAGATGAATCATAGACACTGAGGGCCTGGTGGTGCTCTAAAAATAAATGGACAGGTCAGCAGTGCCATGTGTCCCCATGTGAACAGGTTGCCTACAGGCCAGCTTGGAAAACACAAGATTGTCTCATGCTGGAGCAGGAAATACACACAATAAATTCCATCTTCGCTGTATTGATAGAACAGATCCCAGTTCTGTGAAGAGTGATTTGCATGTGTAATTTTGAGAGACAAAGTATTACTTATTGTATATTTGTAGCCGGATTACCTTCTTAAGACCTGAGAATACAATATGCAGCTTAGCCGACTGACTGCAACACTCAATAATGACCATGTAATAATTTAATTAAAGGAGAAACTCTGGTGATGTGTTTTATCCACACAAAGTGTAATTAATTTTCAAGATTCAAGTCACACTCATGAATGGACCTTTCACTTTGGCCTAGCGTGAGGATTAGTGGTTGACTGCAGAACACAAAGGTGAAAGTCAAAGGTGTAGTCATTAATTAGCTGCATGAACTACTGTGAAATTCAAAGGCCAAAACCAACTGAGCTTTTTTAATAATATAGAGGCAGTGAGGACCTAAGTCACTTCTTCTTTGTGGAACCCTGTGGTTAGAAGGTAAATGCAGATGAATAATAGAGGACTGTGCTAAAGTCCTTTCTTGATCCACCTGTTGAAACTGGGGCCAGCGTCTTTGCTGGGAAGCAGGTGTCCATGCACTTCTGCAAGGGGCCTTCAGCTAAATCTCCAACTTGCATCACAAATGCTCTGTCCAAATCTCGCTTAATAGCTGTTTAAAGGGGACTAATACGTTTTGTGTGTGTGTTGCAGCTGTTTCGTGGCTTGCCAGGGAAACGTTGCTGCTAATGTTACTTGAGAGCCTTAAAGAAGAAAGTTAAATGTTTTACTTCTGTTCTGTCGGACTGGGCTTCAAAAGAAACGAGTCTCCTTGAGAGTGTGACTTGGCCGCACCAGACGCCACAAGGATATTACATGAAGTTGTCAAAATCACAAAACAGGGTGATTCATCATTTTGCTCATAATGTAACTCAAGCAATGCAGACCTCTCATTAAGTTTCCATTATGAGGCTGACTTCACTGAGTCTGTAACGCTCTCTTTAACTGCTCTCAGCAACGGTCACTTCTTTCAACTGACTCTTAAAAATAAGAAAAGGCAAATATGTATTGCAATGTAACCATTTATTTCACTCCACTACAAAATTATATAATTATTTGAACTATGATACAGTTTCCACATATACATAATGTACAGTTTAAAGAGAAAGTGAGGATATGATACAAGTAGTGTACAGTGAAAATAATCCTTTCATATAACATTTGAACATATTTTCCATGAGTTTTGCTTGTAACATTTTTGAATTCTTTCAACAGGTTAATGTTCTTTGTTTATATGTGACAGACTAAATATAATACTGATATGAACATGGAGTAAAATCAGACTAAATGAAAGTACATTTTGACTGTTGAACCCTTACAGTGAATAGCTCTCAAATGAATAGCATTAATGAAGATATTTCCCACTGAAGAAATCCAGTCCGTCCCTTTTTAAAGATATTTGAGTAAGTTATATTTTTTCCTGTAACCACTAATTCCCACCAACAGTCTAAAATGACAACTTTTTCCAGTTAGAATTTTCCTACATTTCAGACTACTGGCTGTTTGTACTACGCACCATATCTAGCTTTATCTTTTCATTGTTGTCAAAAATGAATAAGGTTTTTACGATCCATTTACAAATTGTTTTTCCCTTAAATATACCAAGCCATGACATTACTAGTATCACATAGCTAACTCATGTTCTTAGCACAGATGTTGTGTCATCTATTCTATTGATAATCCATTGATTTGATGAGGCAATGGAAGTGGAAACATCAGTCTGGGCAGAAAGTAAATATTTTGGTGGTCTATGCAGAGAAGAGAGCAGTCACGGCACAGTATGTTTGATCATCACTTCACATCCAAACAAATGTAACTGGTTTTGATAACTGCAATCGCTGATCATTATTGAAAAAAAAAAAAAAAGTTGATTACATTCATCAATCCAACCAGGATGTCACAGGAAGTGTTTGTTTTTTTAAATTATAAACACTGGCAGTCTGGATCCTCTGGGAGGCAATTCTGCAGTAGAACTAACAGAGGTAGCAACTGCATGTGTACAAGTATTAACAACAATGTAAAATGACATTTGTACTGTTACTTAAATATGGTAACTGCATTTTCATTCAGGGTGAGATAGGCCACTATGGACGGAAACATTTGTATTTGTGTTTCATTCTTTCATTCACAAAACACTGAGATGTTTCCATTCTCTGAGTTTTGAGGAAAACTAGGACAATGGCTACTTTCACTCTCTGCTAATGCAATTATCAGCCTCGTATTGCTTCATATTTTCATATTAGCTACATGTATAAAGCAAATTTTTTAAGCCACAAAATAAACTTGTAAAATAATATATATTTTTTAAAATTTATAAAGATTTGAAAGTTCACACAAAAATTGCCATCTAACCAAACAGTATGTCAAACCCCAAAAACTATGTGTTTGGCAAATTCTACAGTACAAATAAAGAGGACGGACCTCTATGATGGTGGCTATCCTGCATGCTCACTGCACGGAGAATGGATCTATGATTTTTTGTTCCTCAAAGTACATTCAATTAGTGTGTCTATGTCATGTTTTATAAGGTAGGTATACGAGAAAAAATCTAACACTACTTTGCTGCCAGAAAGCTTTTCTAAGAAATCCTAAGGTTCCTCCTCTAATCTAATCAAAGTGCCACGGTGCTTCAAAAATGTAAGAGTGACTGAAATAACATGTACGTCGACTGTGAGTATTGGTTTCTACAAGATGGGATAAAGTTGTTGTTGTAAGCAAAGGAAAAGGTTGCTGAAAACGGAACCCTTTGTTAGGGAGAGTAGCTGGAGGGAAGCAGCTTGAAAACAAAGGTTTGGAAGAAAAACAAAAGATCATTATGAAAAGAAAAAGGTTCCTGGACAAATTCAGACCAAGGTACCACAGTCATGTAACAACCATATCAGTCCACTAAGCCACACAGGACCCTCCACATGAATCCTAAATTTTTCCAGGCAAGACAAAGATAATGTATTCTAACTTTCCTCCTATTTTCAACCAATTGAATGTGCAGCAATTATATTTAATTGCTGTTGTGGAGCTAGTCCAATAGCACTACAGCAGATGTAATAATCATTATAGAAAAGAGCAAATGAACCAGAACACAAGCCTGCTTCTTACTCCATGCAAACTGCTCCTCCTGTGTACAACAGTAACAGTAACAAGTCTTCGTAACTGGGAAATTTCATGTTAGGTATACCACACTCTTTAATTACTAGTTACTTAAAAGAACAAGAAAATACATGACAACTGAGTGTGTGGAATAATCAAGCATTAAAACACAACTATCTAGTCTAACTATCATGAGCTGCGCACTGGCTCATTCCAAAGGCACCATTACCGAACAGGGGTGAAGGATGGGGTTAGGTTAGTGTACAGAGCAGGAAGATCAATTTCATTTATTCATTTATTTATCTGTCAGTCTTAGCAGCTGGTACATCTCCAACTTCACCATCCACTTTATACATTTTATTACCGACTTATGTTAGAATAGAGTCAGACCTCTAAAGCATCGCATGGTGCTTTTATTCACCAACAAATGACAGATGATCCCCCCCTGTTTGTGAAGGACTATGTCTGGGACTATCTCCTGTTCTGACAGGAAAACCTAAAAGTGCAATGTTTGGTCGCATCCCACATTATCTCCAAGGAAAATGGTCTTGCCATTATTCTGAATGGAGATACTGTCTTCAGTGCATTTTTAGAAGTATTTCTCTGTGGACCTTGTTTCTCACTTCAGGTTCTGGAAGAGAAGTTGATTCCTGTCACCATCTTCTGGATCTTCTCTTCATTCTTCAGTATGTTGGACCTCACAGCACAAATCTTGTCCTGCTGGTCCTTGATCAGCTGCTCCAGCTCAGCTAGTTCAACTTTGAGAGGCTCCACTGCCCGGTCTGTCGCTCTGCATGCACACATAAAAACAAAAAGGGAATCATTAACTACTTACATGAATTACCTCAGAATGAGTTGAGACACCGCCCATGGTGACCAGCAAATACAGTGATGGAACACTCATATGTTGTTGATAAGATGTTTTTCTCAAGCAGCACCTCAGAGTTGCTCATCACTTTCAGTTTAAGTATGACAACAAATCAGACAAAATGTAAAATGACATTGTGAAACGAAGAGTTGATATTCCATCCTTCCACCATAGCAAGATAAGACAATTATTTTGCCTTATTTTGAAGGCAGCACTGAATAGAAGTACTGGAATCAGCAAATGTGATAGAAAGTTAGCACCCCTGCATGAGAGTCTGTATACGAACCAATGCTGGAAATAAAAAGACTATATTCAATAACACATTAAAGGACATTGTGTAGGTGCCAACACACCTCTGCTCTTGCAGCAAGGCCTGTGCGTGCTCCTTGTTCTCCCGTCGCCAGGTGTGCAGTTCAGCCTGCATGGCGTCCATGTCTTCCTGGATGTAGTCCATGATCTTACCCAGAGGCAAGGAGCTGCGGCACACCGTTTGGATGGATGAGCGCAGCCGTTCAATCTCCCTCGTCACCATGTCCTGCTCTTTCTTCCGCGCTGCTTCAGAGACCAAGTTCTGGAAGGTGGTATGATGGGCGAGTTGTGGGGGATAAAAACAATGCCATCAACTTACAAAGCATACAAACATCAAATATAATTCTGGGAGGGGAACTACTCATTAATTTCATGAGCATGTTATAGTACATCAAAGTCTTATTGGGTAAAGAAAGCAGCTAAAATGTGTTCTTATAATCTGCTTGTTTTATCACTCAGCACTGTATCTTACAGCTGTAAGAATACACACAAAATCACTTGTGTGTCCCTAGAGCAAACATAATAAACCCTCTTTAGGAATTCTACCTTTGCCAGCAACTAGAGCAAGGCTGCATTTAGTGGTTTAGGATTTCAAGGCTAAAAATGTTAGGCAGGAATTCTACCAACCTAGCTGTATATATAAAGATCAAACGTGTGGCTGAATTGTGTCGGCCAAAGTAGGGGGACTGGCTGACGGGCTGGTGAAGGCTTCCAGTGTATGGTGTGTGGTTGAGGAGGGGTTTGCTGTATCCCAATTACACTCAGTCCCTTGATGGAGAAAAGGAGGGGAAGGTATCAGGGAAGGACCTCCCTTGGCAGGGAGCAAACCGAAGGATGTTTGCTCAGCTGGGATTCGCAAGGCCTCTGAGTGTGTGTGTGTGTGTGTGTGTGTGTGTGTGTGTGTGTGTGTGTGTGTGTGTGTGTGTGTGTAATGCAAAAGCACTCAGTACTGCAACCCCAAAGCCACACACACAAACACCAAGCAGAGGATCAGGCGAAGCATACAGTGGACACACACAGCCCCCACCCGCACTCCTGGTCTTAAAGTCTTGTTTATTTTAGTAACAGGCTGTGGCAGTGGGGTTATTTTACTACAGTATTGAGTAACAACTACTACACTTATTCATCCTTTCAAGTCTTGGCCCAATTTATGCCATTTGGCTCCACAGATGGGAGCACCTGCCTTCATCAGGCAGCAGAAATCATAATTGCGACAGTGTGTAAACTAAATGACAGCTTCCTCTTCAAAACACACAATCTGTCATACAGCCCGCTCCGGTAGGTGCATATAGCATTTTCCTTATCAAGCCATCTCTTAAAACAAACTAAACGACTCAGTAATTACAATTTTAAAAGACAGCTTGACTAGACCAGACCACACTGCAGAAATGACATCAAACACCATTGTTTGCCATCATTTCTTTTCAGGAAGCAAGTACAAATTTCTGACAACCTCACTCTTTGTTACCCGTCTGTGGTGGCTCACGAGTGTGAGGGTTGAAATGCCTTGGCTCAGCGGTCCCCCCACAAGGTGGGTGGCTTTCCACTGGGTGCCGTGAACCCTGCAGCTAGACAAACACTCTACGGCTCATTCGGCCTGCCTGGCTGCGGTTTGCTCTACATAGCCCAGACAGGACCCATGGCTTCGTTCTATTTGCCGTCCTCTTGCTACCTTAGCCCCCCCCCCCTCCTTCTCTGTTGGAAAATAAAAAACTTGGCGTGAAAACATGACCCCTGGTTCGTGTGCACTCTGTCCGGCTGGATATAAATCACTGCTTTATGGAGGTCTCTGTCGGGGTCTACAAGACCTATGTGCTCCTAGTTTTCCTTTTTCTCACCCAGATCACAGAACAATATTTAGATGTGGTGACCACAGAGGAGTAGGAGGTGAGCGAGGAGGAAGGGGGGGCAGGTTTTCCCATTATCTCAGACATGATGAAAGCTCCAGGCAATGGAGAAGACAGAGCCTCTCGCTGATGCTAGACAGGGCAGGTGGACTAACAGGAGGTAGCTAGGTCTGGTGTTTCATACCTACAGTATCATATCGTAGTCTGAGCTATGTCTATCTTCTAAAAGTCCATAAATAAATATTCTAATCTTGTTTTGATCAGCGTTGAAAGATAAAATGTTGGTTCAGTTGAATCTCATGCTTTAACTAAAAACTCAGTGCTTGGCTCTCCTTCAAAGGAGGGACAACAGAATGAAATACTCATGGGCTATAACACTGCAAGGTACACTACAATGTGAAATTCACCCTGTCATCACATGCTTAATTAGCTTAATTAGGAAATACGTGCAAAAATGTGCTTTATGGACTGCTTATAGGGATTTTCTGTGGCAAGAGAAAAACATTCTTCAAAGTATCCTCTGACATGAAAAATAGCTTGCAAGCATGGGACCTGTCAGGGGTGGAGGAACCTCTAGGGTATCATTAACTAGAAAAACAAAAATGTAAACACTAGTTTTACAGATGATAATGAGAAATCAGCTTCTAATAGAGGGCAGCAAGCCTCACTCAGTACTGTTCATTTATCAGCTTCTGGTTGGAATAAGAGGATGAGAGACAAATGTAATGTAAAAACCTCTCACTGGAGCTTTGCCCATAATCAAGACGAATCAATTTAAGATTTGTTAAAGTTAAAGTTGTGATGGCTCAAATGTCAGTTGCTGACGACCATCAAGGTTTATGAACGCACGTGGATTCCTCTCACATCACCACCAACTCAAATGTGAAAAAACAAGTTTTGTCAAAGTATGTTATAGATCAGCGAAGACCACATATAACAACTGCAGAGCTTCTGGGAACAATTCCCTTAGCTACTGGTGCCCATTTGGACACTGACACACACTCTGATGGTTTTTACAGTGTGTTCCTCTGGCAGATCTGAGAGGTGAGCCAGGGAGCGAAGCTTAGGATGAGAATTGGCTCTGGACGTTGTTTATGGGCTTCCTAGCCATTTTTCATAGAAAGCCATTTAAAAGTCTAGCTAGATCATAAAAATAGCTTGGAGTCGGTGAGGTGAGGAGAAAAGCTTATAGCCAATGAGGTTACAGGATGTTGTTGCAAGGTCACTGTAGTCCCTTGGGGAGACAACTGAGAACACCATCCTGGGCTATGGGGTGAACTGAAAGGAAACTTCCTAAGGGACCAATGGCTTTAGTAACTAACAATCTAGAGCTATATTTAAATAAGGTGGCTTGCCATTCAAACATTCTCAGGGAGGGAATAGGTAGCTTTAAGGTTTTTGAAGGCCTCTGATCATGATTTAAATATGTTGTCAAGGTTGAGGTTTGTGGCAGCTTCAGGTAGGTACTCCTCAAAAACTTAACCAAATTCCTAACAAGTCAATATGACCTCTACAAAAGTAATATAACTAATGGAATGCCACAGGGTCATTTCCTTGTGTTTCCACAAAAAACGCTGAATGTTTATGAAGACACAGAGGTCTGCAGAGAGGAGTATTTATTTTCTTGACAATTCTGCAGAGGGAATTCTGGCCCTTCTCCTCCGTGCCTCTCACTCAACAGCCATCCATTTGTGCGCCACAGGGTTTATTTATACATTACAAACGTTCATCAAGGCTAATTTGATGGGGGTAAAGAAAAGGGGGAAAAGAGTACACAAAAATTCTTATGAAAACGCAGCTGCTGCAAGGGGCAGATTCTGTCTAAATAAAAGGAGAAGTATCTTGGAATAATATACAATGCTGCCGAGGGGTCACAAGGAAGGTCATCCCCATAAATATACAGCAAAGGCTTTGGTTGCACACACAGTGGCGGTAAATGGCAAAATACAATCATTTGATTGTTGAAGTATTTCCTTTATTTACATCGGTACAGAAACGGAGCGGTTGCATTAACAATATCAAAATTAATTTAGGAATGACAAAACACAGAAACAACATAAAGGCTGCATTTCCAGAAAATGTACTAAAAGAACATGATGTTGAGTATTAACGTAAGGGAATTTGTGACTTATTCAGAAACTGTGTTTTGATAAACATCAGCGTTTTGAAAAATGAATTTCAGCAGCTGAAATTTCAGACCTGTCATACCACATAGAATGAGGAAGCTCAATATTTACATTTTTGTCCCTGCGTGTTTTACCGTGATTACAAGAAAAAAAACGACTCCATTAAGCTGACCTCTCCACCCTTTCATGTCAGGAAGGAAGTCATTATAGTTCTTTATACAGCTGACGATGCGAAGGCCAGTAATGATGGAGGGGTGGACTGAACTAGTGCTATGTGCAGACATACCTGCTCTAAGCTGCCCCTGCAGACCATACAGGATACCATGAAATGAAGGTTTGAAACCCCTGAAAGCTGAGGAGGCTGCATTAAGAAAATTAGGATAAACTCTACAAGGCTCTGCTCATGTTACACAAAGAGCTCTGCTATTCTGGATGTTTTGCCTGTGTGTGTCGGTGTGTGTATGTTTGGCTGGAACTGAATTAACTTTTGACATAAATTCTTCTTAAGAGAAGTGTTAAGGTGGGTAGAGATATGTAAAAACTATATTTAACACATGTATGTAAAAGGTGGATAAATGCCAGGCCTTTAAATTCCTGTTGAGCTATTTCAGTTTACTGGTGGCGCAGCTACAACGTCAGGTGTGAGTTATGAGGGATGATGTCTGAGACCGCAGTTAGGGAGGGAATAGATGAGGAGCCTTTGTGCATGAGTGACAGTCCAAAATAGTGCATCTATTGGAGTCAGGGTGGTCAGCTAAGAAGGGATGCAGGGAGAGTATGCTTCAGTGGGGAGGACCACCCAAAGCAGACAGTGTACACCACCTCACACCATAGAGTACAGACAAAACTGTAAGCTTCACACTGATTCACATTCCAAATAACGATGAAAGAGCACTGCTCTCTCTGGCTAATAAATAAGCTGACAGAAGGGAATGAGTAATGGCAGCAATGCGTCACCTTGACAAAGCTGGTCTATCATGTCTAATATGAAGTCTACCCCAAAGAGGAGATGAGAAGAAAGGTCTTACTAGAACATCTCAGCCTGTGTGCAATGAAGTTTTTAGTGAAAGCGTCAAAATACAACAAGACTGAAAACCCGAATGACTGAAAAATTGGTTGTGCAGTGTCTGTTTTCTGCAATAACCTGTACACATGTAAGAAAAGAGTGAGAAAAGAAAGATTCCCCTAAAAGTTCCCAAGATGACTGATATTCTGAAACTGTACACAGCACAGAGAAGTCTGCAACAAAAACAAAATCAAGCATACCTAAAACATTGAGCAACCCCAGAAAACAAGCCCATTTTGCTCCAGACATCTTGATGTGTGTATCAGTTGTGTGTGGTCTGTTAGAGGCCATACTTGCCCTGCCTGGTTATCAGCCCTTCAGCTTCATTGAAGGGGAACATTTTTGTGGTTTCAAGGCAGTGCAATTACACCTTTCCACTTCATTTGTTTATATATTTCTTTTGATAATAACCAGTGTTGCACTGGGCATGGTCAAAATGCTTACCCTGGGAAGCTACATTTCCAGAAACAATGGCTGGTAGAACTGATGGGGAGGTTTAACATGGTCTCTTGTGTCAATGAGCTGGAGAGAACTAGGCTGGTACTGCCCTCTAGTGGAGATGGAAAAGATCTACTACTATAAGAGTACCTACCTGGTCTTTAGATTTGGAGGAAGATGGCGATAATTCATAGTCTTTCTTGGTTTCAAGGATCTTTTTCACAAGGCCACCTAAGGTGAGAGAAACAGCAAGAGGAGAAGTGAAAGATCTACTTCATCAAACCACCAGGTGTGAGAGACATCAAAAGGCATTATTATGACTTTCAAAATAAGGGCGAACTAGAAGGAAATGTGACTGCGTACCGTGTTTCTCTTCACTGTCTATTTCTTGTGGACGATCCTGTAAAAGAAAAAAAATGTTCGATAACTATCCCAGACTTACGTTTATCGATGGCATTTAAACAACTCACTGTTCAAGTCACTCACCACCTCCATCTCAGGAGCATCTGAGGGCGGAGGGACAGCCTCCTCCACGAGAAATTGTTCATCTTCATCCTCCTCATCCTCAGATAGCTTCTTCCCTTCCATGATGACAGGTGCTGAGGGCTTGGCACTTGACAGTCTGGAAGAAAGACAAAGATTTTAAAGTAATATGGTTTGTACTGTATGACATATGTCGTCTTGTGGCTAACCGGTTAGACTTGCTCCACTTACTCCATTATTAAACAATTACAAACATTATCTTCATTCAGTGTGCTGATTCCATTTGGTTTAAAAATCTAAGAGATCAATCTGTCCCACTGTCAGGAACCGTCCTGGCCACTATAAATGAGACTTATGACATCAGTGAATATGTGTGGTGAAGTTACCTCTCAGCTGAGTTCACATCAGTGTAACTCTCCTGTCTCTTGACTCGAGGAGGTGCTGGGCGAGCACTGCCAGGCCGTGCTATTCGTCTGTTGCTTTGGGATTAAAGGATTGTACATATTACTGAAAAAAACTGTTAAACTATCAATTTTAAAACTAAATATGTTCACATTTATACAAGTCATTTTTGTTTAGTTTCACAAGCTATGTTATTTCTCTTACAGGACTAATTCTCTGTTAACAGCTCTGTGGGATTTTCCAAATGTCTATTTTGCGACGGCTACGCTGAGTCATTCAGATTTTGGGATAAGAACCATTGCTTGGAACAATAAACTCTCACAGTATTAATAAAACTGCTATAACACAGCTGCCTAACCAATTTTAGCCAATTAGTCAGTTAAATATCAGAACAGTCTCAATTATCCAAATTAAGGCAATTATTCAACTGTGAATTCTACTGGAATTGATCCTGGATTGGTTTGAGAAGCAAAACTACAACAACTTTAAATAAATAAATGCAATAGTATGCAATGCAATAACACTCAAATTAGATTCACTATAATTACTTCATTATTATAATTATACAAATCAACATCGCTCTGACACAGTCTCATCAAAACACTCTGAGCTTCATCAATGTAATATTTATTGCATGAAAACTGTGCAGCATTGCATTATATTGAATATCGTTCAGGTATTGGTCATAGTGTGCACATGTTTATATACATGTTTGACAGTCGAATTAGTTGAAACCACATTTATTTGTATAGTATTTTATGATGATCATATTGTCAACTAGAAATTCATTATGCTTGTTCTTCAAGATTACTCCTAACTATATAGATTTGAAAGAGAAGAAAACTATATCATGCATTTAGCTCTCAGTCAATCATGCAAAGATTTCCATAAGTTTTGGATCCTGTCACAAAAATTAAATAGGTGCTAAGTTGTTTCTACATTTACGAGGGTCTTCCTTGGTGAAACTACAATGGTGCAATGCTTTAAATGTTGCTGTTGCAAAGACTTGTGGGACATTATCTCCTTTCCTTTGGTAAAGGATGGTCCAATGTATCCTATGCTAAAGGAGATAAAAAAGGAAGCACTGAGGCTCCTTTCCTCAGTATTTAGAGAATTCGACCAGTTGTTGTCATGGCTGCCATTTAGATACCTCCGGGTCATTTCACTCAGTTAGGAACCTTCCTAAGCAAAAAAGACTATTATAACCGCAGCCCTTGTCTCCTGCTACTCCTCCATCTGACCACCAGATGTCCTCCCTGTCACTTCTCTAACACGAGGCTTTCCCCACCCACCTACACACCTGTTCCCATTCCCCTCATTAGCTCCCTGCATATGCACCAGCCCTTTTCCACAGTCATGTTCTTTGTAGACTGCTGTCTAGCCATCCTGCCAGTTTGGGTCCTCCCTACCTCTGCTTTGTAAACCAACTGTAACAAACTCATAGTGTTTGCTAAGTGAGTGAAGGTGTTGACTGTACAGACCTGGAAGTCATGTCAGATGGCACCGAGGAGCCTGCAGCATCTCCATTATCCTGAGGGACAGGTCTCTGGGCTAACTGAGCATCTCCATCTGTGAAAGGATCACAATGTCTTGTAGTTAGATCAGTACAATATAGCAAGGATTAGGGCTATCCATAGCATTGTGGATTGTGAGAGTTAAGTGCACTCCTTTGTAACAAATGTATACTAATCTTCTTTTCTCTGGCTTAAATGCTACCACTCTAAAAAAAAAAAAAAAAAACAGCTCCAGCTACTAACACTGGCATGATTTAGCTATATAAGCTTAGCCTTTGCGTCTTTACACTGACCTCCACCTCACACTAAGGATGAATTTGAGTGCTCTGTTGGAAAACCTCCTGCCTTCCTTCATATCCTTGGAAAAGTAACTTAAAACCCACTGAAAGTTGTATCTTTGCTGACCTTCAATACTTTAATTTCACACCTGGATGCAATGATGTACAGCTGTACTTGTGGATCATGTGATATCGCTGTTGGGTGTGGTTACAGGTTCAACAAAGCAAATTTCTGATCACACCAAAGGAAGCTTTTAACCAGAAAGGGCAATAGAGCAGCTTTTTAGCCTGGTGTTTAGTTACACTCCAAGATGTGCTGCTTAGTTGTCAACAGAATGAACAAGTAAACTCAAAAGACAGGACATTCTCATGTGCTCCTTTTGTGGAATAAACTTCCAGTTGCTGTTAGGGAATTTGGCCTGTTGTAATGCAGCTCCCTGTTCTGCTGTGTGCCTCGGTGTCTGGCCCTGGTTTGCCCTTGTTTTCTGTTGTGTGCCTTGCTGTGAACCTGCTGGCTCCTCTTGCTTCCGCCAAGTGGGCAAACTTTGTTCTTTTCTCTTGGATTTAGAATGATGTGAAGACTCACTATCGGACCCATACATAGATTTTATACTTTTGGACTTAACACTGAACTTTTCTGGAATTTCTATAAGCCATTATAACTTTCTGTTTATTTCTACAAATGTCTTTGTGTATTTCCCACATACAGCTCCTATTCTAGAGTTTGGGCTAGGTCAGGAGCCGTTGCAACCTCAGGCCAGTTAAGCCCATTGAGACACTGTATCTGATATTGGGTTTTTCAAATAAACTTGACTGACTTGCTCAGAATATCATTGCCCTTAATCACTTGGTCAGTAACTCATTCACTCACTGAGTGACTGCCCTCAGTTCCTGGCTCATGGAGCAAGAACCCAAAGTAGCATTCTGACATTTTGGGGAAGATATTTCTTTGCTGCTTTACTCTGAGTCAGATGAGAAGATCAAATAATTTTATGCCTTGTGATTACAGTTCAGAGGAAGTTAACATAGCTGCGCTAAGTTAAAAGTCATCACCAAATGTATGGGTTATTTAGCTTATTTATGAGGATGATCAATGTCAGTACTCTCCTTATTTACTGCAGCTTACCATTGCAATCCTAAAAATGCATCTTTGATCAGTGCATGTGTTTAATGTTGACCCCATTTCCACAGAAAAAATTCTTGTGTGAATGTTAAAAACCTTTATATGCTCCTCTGCATGTGGCTGCATAAGAGAGACAGAGGACACTTACCTCCCTCACTGTCAGATTCATCTGTTGAGAGTAAAAACAAGGTATTGTTGGTGTCCTTTCTAGTACATTTACCAAAATTACAGTGATGTCTACTTAATTTCATGCGACATGCAAAGTGTAGAATATGAAAAACAGATGAATCAAGAGGCTGTGTGTCTTTGCAATATTTTTAGAAAAATGTTTTTGTAGAAAACCTTTTCTCGCTGTCATTTCTATGACGCTTTTATTGTCTCTGTCAAATGTAGTCCTGCTGAGTCACCTACCTCCCATAAGGGAACTAGTCAGTGATTTTATAACACAAGTGAAGTGCAAACAGAAAGCAGTCAACTGTCAACATTATATGAGACAACTGTATTAACTATGTGAGATGTGTTATACTATAGGTGATTAATATAGGGTGTTAAGGGGAGAGTGGGTTTGGAGGGTTACCTTGACCTCCAATTTTGGGTCTCCGCCTCTGCCCTTTGGCAGATGAAGGCCGAGGTATTCTAGCTGGACTGTCTGACTGTGAGAGGAGGAGAGACAAGTAGGAAAAAGACACAATTTTAGGATAATAAGCACCAAAAGGCAACACGTCACTTACTAACGCTTGGGATAGTTTGGAGAAACCTTTTTACGTTTGGTTCTCTATTATGCTAACTATGACCATTCATCATTTTCTTTGTTAAGTTTAGGGTACACTGAGTTGCTATTAAGCAGAAATTAACATGCCAAATTATCTTTTAAACCACACATGCAGACATGCAAAATATGAATATTAAGAGTTGTAAAGAAAGAACAGTGAAGTGTGGTTGTAGGGTCAATATACATTATTATTTAAGCCCAATATCAGCTAAACATACTGGGTCAGATATCAGAAAACATACAACATGATTTTACCAGTATATAAATATCTGCATGGAGCAACATTCTAGCATGGTAAACAAGCAGTTTCCTTTTGGAAAAGCAAAATGAAAGAAGGCAAAGTGAGAGACAGAATAGGAATTGGAAGCTTCAACATCAGAAATGTAATAAACTTTTTGCAGAGGCCTCATGCAAAAAAAATATACAGCAATGGAGTTGAATGAGGGTTATATTATTTGTATTTTGTGCCAGAGCAACAAAATATTGTTGGATGGAATAATAAAAACCCTCGCCCACCAAAACATCAACAAAATAAAGCTGAAATGGAGCTGTATATTGTAATATAATTGTGCGAGGTAACCAACTCCTTTCCATGGTTGAAACAGGGCAATTTTATGCTTAACTGAACACTCAAGCCTTGCTAAACATTTCATCTTTGAAATGGCTATCTGAACAAGCAAGTTAGTGAACTCAGTTGTTTTACAGCTGACTTATGGAGCTAAAACATTCAGTATGGCCCATGTCATTAGTAAGTCTGACAGCACACTGGTTGACTTTTGATTTAGCATTGCAAAAGTGATCCAGAGTAAACAGCTGCATTGCTTACACGCAGGGAATTCCCTTGTGGGAGCAGGAAAGCTGTTGAATGCAAAGTGCATGTAATTTTACAAAATAAAGCTGGAAGCATGCAAGTTGCACATGAATGACGACAACTTTAAAGACATTCAAAACGGATAAATAAATATTGGATTCTAATTACACTGACAGATACTCGATGCATCATCTTCTGCAATTAAAAAGTGTTATTGAGCCATCTCTGCTAGTACAGTAAGTTCTCACCTGGTTGTCAACTGCATCTGCAGGCTGTACACAGCAAAGAACACTGCCTTATGTAACGTCACATTTATCAATTATACAGTTAATAAGAGCAAACGAGACCTCACATGCCTTATACACTACAGTCCATTTTAGCACTAAATCAAGCAGCCAGCAAAGCCATTCTAAGACTAAAATGTCTGCAATATACAGGTCTAATTTTCTACTGATTGTCTCTGCGGGGTTGAATACCTTTTCACTTGGGTTTGGTTCCTTGGAAGAATAAGAGGCACAACATTAGAAAATAAATTTGACTTTTTTATAACCTGTATAAAAAGTCAAGTTTAATTTTTCAACTATGTAAACAAATAAAATCAGTGACTAACTCTAAATTTCTTAATTGGCTGATTAAACATACAGGAAACTACACCATACTGTAACTGCAGATGAGAAAATCAAATGAACTCAAAATAAGTGTAATATTAAAAAGTGTGTACTTTTGGCCAAAGGAACTTACAGCTGGCACAGGTTTGGCTGTTTTGCTGGGCTCTTCAGGGCTGGGTTTTTGCTGTGGTTCCTCTGACACTCTGGCCTAAACACAAACATACACATTAAATGTAAATATTGGTATTTTGTTGTCAATATGTATGTGTAAAATGTGTGTGGGCTTAAGAAGTTGTACCTTGCTACTGCCATTCTCTACACTTTTGTTCCTCTCGTCCCCCTCTTTGTGACGCTCTCTTTCTTTCTCCCGCTCTTTGTCTCTCTCTCGTCGTTTTTCCTTGTCTCGTTCCCCTTCTCTGTGGGAATCCCTCTCTCTTGTCTTTTCTCGCTCTTTTTCCCTTTCTCGATCCCTCTCTCTATCCTTCACTTTGTCCCTGTCTTTAACTCGTCCTTTGTCTCTATCCTTGTCTCGCTCCCGGTCTCGGCTCTTGTCTTTGTCACGGTCTTTGCCGCGGTCCTGTTCACTGCGGTGGTGCTTGTCAGAACGCTCCCTGTCCCGGTGGTGCTCTTTCTCCCCATCCCTACGTCGACTTTCCTGCTCCTTGGGCTGGTCTGGGTCCTTCTGGTCCCTGCTCCCACTGCGCTCTGTAATCTTTTTCTTGTCCTGGAATAGAAAATAGCAAAACAAAGGGTGAGGACTTAATGCTAGCCACAGCCACATGCTGAAAAATTCATCATTTAAACATATTTGTTTGTAAATCAACAGTGCAACTTGCAAGGCTTCAGCCTAACACAGAAAATACATTTCACATCATACGTCGGATTGAGCAGTATGTAACTGAGTGGGGCTAAAGACTCTTACCTCTCTATCCAGGTGACGTTCACGTCCTTCCCTATTCTCCTTGTCCTGGGACCTGGAGGTACTAGCCTTGGTCTTCATGTCCACCTTTTCTCCTGCAAGTACTCGCTTCACTGCATCATCACTGGACAGCTAGAGTTTATTTGCAGGAGAGCCATTTAATTTAATACAGCGATAATATTAATGAGTAACATTTACTCTTGTTTCACTGAGTGTTTAACAAGAACGACAGTGTAGCATACATAGGAATGTCTACAAATCATGTCAGAAAGAATCTCCCTTTGTAAAGTGTCATTAAGCAAAACACTAAAACTGGCCCATGGAGGGGGCAAACAAAACTGTTCAAAGGTGCATCACAAAATGACACTGCAGCAATTAGGTAAAAAAAGGTAATGGACATTTCCTTGTTTCTTACAACAGAGGTGGATAACCCAACCTTCTGGTAATATGTTGCCCATATTTGTTTGGATTATGAATTCAACAGTTGGCCCATTCTTACACATCGCCCCTTTTAAGACTTCTCATGTTTTCATTACTTTTGTTTCATACAAGTTGAAAAACCTGAAATACTATCTCTATTACAATTGTAACCATATGGCTTCAAAACAGCAAAGTCATGTTGCATAAAATCTGAGAGGAATACATTTAGATTGTTAAGAACTTTCTGCGTGACATGATATCAAAATACAGCTATCCCCCAGGCACCAGCTCATCTGGTTACACTCCATCTCCAGGGTGCAATTAAAATATTTCAGAGTTCTCCCTGAGGTGGCTAGACAGTTTTGCCAAGAGTATAATATTTTGATGTGAAAGCTGATAAACACAGAATTTCCTTTTTATGTAGAGCCATATATTTGTGTCTCCAGCATAACAGAGACAACAATGTCAATGAATTTGAGAAATTGGAGAAATGGAATTTGAGTCTTTTAAATTTCACAGTCAGCTTTTCAGTGTGTGTGTGTGTTTAATCTTCCAAAAAGACAGACCTTGTTGAGGCAGCACTTGGCGATGGCCTGCAGCAGCTCATTGGTTTTCTCAGGCTCATGGCCAGCTACAATGCGTGCCGGCTTTGCTGCCAGGGGCTCGCCACTCACCAGCATCACGACATCTATGGCTTTCTGGAGGAAGACTATCTTAGAGTCCTTATCCTGCAAAGATAAAAGATGCTGTGATACCCAGGAGAGTGCACAGGAGAGAAACAAGATACCATCTGCTTGTGAGAGTAAAGGACCTCCAATGGGAGTTATTTTCCAATACAGTTTAGAATGATTTAACCCTTGAGAAATGTATATTCAGAGTTCAACCTAATTTACTCCTACCATGCAACAATTCTACATACCATGCATAGTTGATGAGTACTCAGTCCAGTTTAGTCCAATCTGTCCTCACATATAATTTCTGACTATGGTGGGCCCACAGTTTGTTTGCACACTCTGACTCCTCTCCCCTCCTGACCAGGCTACTTAAATTAATGTTATATTTTACTCAGCAAGGTGTGAATCTTAAAAGTAATCTTATACACGTTACAATTGTGACTTAACTCTCAATGTAATCTAGTGTAGTGTAATGGTTAGATTTCTCAAAATGACATCTAACAATTCAAGAGAAAATCTTGAATCTTGAAGTGCCAATGAGTAACAGAAAACCTGGCTTTATAACAAGGACTGCTGCAGACAGGGAGGAGCAAACTAATATCAACTACTCCTTTAATCCAATCCTTGAATTAGGTGTATATTTTGTATACATATTCTGATGGGCAAGCTTTAATCTGTATTGTCAACCATGTATCGTACTTTTCATTTCATTAAATTTTATACTGCTGTGAAACTAAAGATACGTTTTCAACAACATGGACAATAAAGTTCCTACCATTAATACTAAGATTAACATTCTAGTAGACATGTAATAGAACAGACACTATTCCAGGCAAATGACCCGGGTAAGCAGTGCTTCTAGTCTATCAGCCTGCTGCATCTGAGAAGCCTGCCAACTGTGTAACATAAGGATTTGTAGCTGGTGCAACCACCTGGTCTGTAACATCTGATAATTGCCAAGCCTTTGCAGTGTTCCTTTCATGACATTTCTATATAGTAACATGCTCTTGCACAGAGGCCTGTAAAGAATTAAGAAAATACAAAATTGACATAAAATATTATAGGGAATGAGTGGGAGGTAATAAATTAAAATGTTTCAGAAAATTTCAGATAATATATGAAGAGCAGTGCATTATTGTAGAGGCACAACAGTGTGATCTCTAAAAAATATGATGTATGTGACTGTAACATTACATTCAAATCGGAATGGAAGTTCTAATAATCTAATCAACACGTAGGGGCTATTGTATGTTTGTATCGCTGCAGGCTTGATTATTGTGATATTCCTGTCAGGTCTACCCAAAAACAATCTAGCTAAAATTGACTGTCAGTTTTAGTATAGAAAAAAAATCTTTCCTAGTTCATAAAGTACTGCATGATCTTGCACCAAAATACTTGTAAGACATACTTTTAGCAAAAACTTTTGGTGAGCACCTTTTAGCTCTTGTACCTCTGAAGCAACGTGCCCAGCGATCTGAAAGAAGCTTAAGTAGAGTATGTCTACATTTAGCCATTTAAATTTGTCTTTCAACATAAACTTACAACCTAACTGACTATTATCTATAACCATTTTTGCAATTGATAATAATATCTAAGAGGACTTGGAAATGTCATCATTATGTACTATTATGGGTTTCCGTTTTTATCTTTGAATATTTGAATATAAATAATAAATATTTGAATATTTGTGTCAAGGGCAGTAGTTTCAGTAAGAAAGTTGCTTAAATAATAAAATCACATTTTCACAATTGTTAATTGTCCTATAATATCCTGTAAAATACATATGAACAATCACTATGTTTAAGAGATCATTTGATATATCAGATTCACCCAGATTTTGGGTGAATGCCTCTCTCTATTCAATATTTGCCTACACTCATCAATCAACTTGTTGCACCACCAAGATACGACCTATGACAGTGCATAAAGAAACCATTTAAATTGTAAATACAACCATGACGAATTAAATTAGCTTTTAAGTTGTAAAGCTTCTAGTTTGAACACATTTTCTCCTCCTAGCCTATCACCTTCCAATCCAGTATTGATTTGGGGTCAGATCTCAAGCAGCAGACTTGAGTTCTGACACCTTGACAGGCCTCTCAGTCATGTCCTGCCAGATCCTCTCACTCAGAGAGTGTTACACAGGCAGCGTTTAATGTTACCTCCACACACAGACACCCTCAGACTGTCCCATACAACACACAGGTGATCTCCTACACAAGTAAGGCTACTGCTTAGGACATTCTAACATATTTTGTACACAAGAAAGCATATCAATAGAGAGAAATAAATAGGAGAACAAGACTATAATTACTAAAGAATAGGGATATCTGTTTGTGTAGCCGGCGGCCAGGAGGTAGACAAACAAATAGCCAAAAACAGTTTGACCGGGTGGACTGAGTGTAGTCAACTTACCTTAACATTATCTGACTTCATTTCATTCTCTCCATACAGGCCTTTCATAAAACCAGTGGTCCTTATGACCTGAAAGTGGTGAGAAATAAAAGTTCCATGCTTAATCATTAGATAATTTGCAATATTAACCATACAGGTCTGTAGTATATACTTCTATATCAACAGTGAAAATTCAGTTGTTGGACAATCCGATCCTGAAGTCAAACACATTGCTAATCAAAGGAAAGGAGTCACACGTTTCAACACGCTTCCCTTTATCAAATATACATGATGCTAAGGTGAAATATGAGACTGCCCAACAGGGGGAGAGTGAGAATGAGATCTCACTTCTGTTTAGAAAAGTGAAACAGATTTTACTCTGCTTGACATCTAATATCAAAGGATTTGTTGTGTGTAAAAAGAAAGAAAATGTAGTTGAGAAAAAGCAGTGTTGTGTGTGATGCAGTGGTTCCTATGCTATTTTATGTAGCACTTAATGGTAACATTAATATTTACCTATGTTACTTGGCCTACTACTAATACTTTTCTACCAGTGTTTGTGCTGATAAAGTGTCCCTTGTAGGATATCATTATCAACATCAATAGATACCAGTTTATATCAGAAGCAGTCACTAGTTGGTTTCCAAATCTGACCAGATGAGGATATGTTGGTATTAAAAAAGTTTTTGTTTTAACCTTCTTTGTGAACCTGAAGCTTTCCAATGCCCACTTGGTATATCCTGACAACACTCTCAATCTGAATAACAAACCATCTGACCCATCCAGTCCCACAGTCTAAACTGATCCCAACATCCTAGGAATCAGTAGTTTTTCTAGTAAGATTCTCAGTCCTTCCCAAAAGCTTCACGTGTATCTGTAACTTAACCATATACGTGTATGTACCTTAACTTATTTTGCAAGCAGCTTTGAACAGCTAGAATCCAGAACGGTAAAAGTATTTTCTTTATCCACAGTGACTAAGTTAATCAAAGCATAACGTAGTTAAACCTTAGTTTCCACTCTTATCCAGCAGCCCAACTGCGATAAGCTGCTGAACATCCGTGATCTCAACGTGACGGCTTCAAAGAAGCAGACAAATTTAGCCAACTTAGCTCCCACAATCGATTCATCACGGTTAGCTAACCACAATGGACAAAAATTGGTTTGTTGATTCCTGTGCGGGCTCAAGTCGTGCCTAGCAACTAGACGACGCCGTTGACATGGCTAGCTAACCAGTTATCACACGGTATTAACTTAACCGACAACCTGACATCGTATTACTGGTGAACGTTAGCAGTTCTTTGTTTGGTTGATGATTGACCTTGGTGGTTTAACTGCTTGGTCAGCTTTATTCGCGCTACAACAGACAATTTGATAGCTTGAGAAAAGCTCTGAAGGCGTAACGTTTTCTCGAAGTTAATGTTACTAAACTCTCTTGGTTAGCTTAGGGTCATGCTAACGTTGGTGCACTAGCTAGCTAACTGTTTGGCTTATGTGCGTTTTAAATGACACACGTCCTGTTGGAGTTAGCCTTTTTATAATGGGCATAGGCAAAATAGACTCTGATGTTATTTAAACATACGTCAGCTTGCTAACCTAATGTAACATTAGCAGATAAGTCTCACCTCACTGAAGATGTCGTGGAGGTATCGAAACGGGGGCTTGCTTAGCAGTTTCTCCGTGAGAGGCGGTTTCTTAATCACTTTGCCCAGTGTGTCCTGGGTCTTTTTTACCACTGCTGCATTCATCACAGCAGTTGAACGCAAAGCCAAGTAATTTAAGCACAGAAGCGACGGCAAAAACTAGTCCGGAGTGAGAAAACTTGGTTGGCTCTGTCGCCTGGTTGCTATGTCAATATTCTGCAATCCCACAGTGCATCATTACTAAGAACTGCGCCTGCGCTGAGGGTTTACGGTTGCTAAGCGCTGTCTGTGTCCATAGCAACAGCTAACAATCTTTACTGATCTTCAACAAAGCTGTTGTAGTGATAGATAGATAGATAGATAGATAGATAGATAGATAGATAGATAGATAGATAGATAGATGTGTCATGACAAATATTGGGTTCATATTATTGTGATGTGGCTCTCTCTCAGGCACAGTTTCTGGCACATCTGTGTGCAAAGTGCATAGTTAAAAGGAAACAGCTAAATGGCTAAAAATGAATGCCATATAAAAAACTGAAATATGATGAGTATGAAAAGGTGTTTCTGGATATCTGAGTGGTGTTTATAAACCTGTGCTGTCAGATGGAGTGCAGTTAAATTCAAAGTTTGCAGCACTTGACAGTTAACCCAAAGAACTTTCTGAAACAGATGGTCTTGCCTATACAGAGCTCTGATCTCAAAATCATGAAGTCAATCTACGATTACACAAAAGGAGACAGAAGACAGTGAGAGAGCCTGAATCCACAGAAGAAACAACAGCAAATTCTCCAAGATGCTTGGAACAACCTACCTGCGTCAACTGAAAAAGAACTGGTGCTGTTATAAAGGCAAAGGGCAGTCACAGCAAATTTGATTAGGGTGTTTCTGTTTACTGCACTTGGTATGAAGTTAACCGATAGATAAAAACTACTCATGGCGTTTTTATTAAAGGTATTACCACTTTAATTTTAATGCTTGCAACTTACATCAGTCTGTATCACTCTGCCTGTGTTTCAGTGAATGGTTAGCCCTCTTTGTTTATAGCACACTACTTTGATATACCTGTTTGGTGAGTTTAGTTGAAAGAAACATTTGACAAAAGAGAAAGCATATAGAGTGGTGAGTGCAGATTCTTGTTGCTTCATTCTGTCAAGGTAAGACATCTACTCTGTGCAACTTCAAGTGAAATACATGAATTATGAAATACATTTTATATGAAAAATGATAGGCTATATTGTTTTAATAGCTACTGCCTCCTTGTTGTTACTGAAAATGCTGTATAATAAGGGGTTTCCAGAGATTTTAAGTAATTGTTTTAAACCTACTACTTTACACTGATGCCTTTAAAAGTTATGGTGATGGTACACTGTTTTATATCAAATGTTAATAGTTCAATACATAAACAGTGAAGTAAAAGATTTGCATTTTTATTTTCATACCAAAAATACGTGAACATGTAGGAATGACAGCTCACAAAATGAATTTTGTAACATGGCAGCAGCTTGAGCTCTTAATAATGGTGCAGATTTTATATGAAGATGACCTTTCTTTCTTAACTGCTTCATCGACATTGTTGCTTTAAGTACAGTCATTTGAATCGCAGCCTTGTCAAGCTTGTTTGGCGAGTCAGCATTACAGAGGACAATATGAGTAAGAGATATCTGTAAATGGTGCTGTCAGCCAGCAGAGCGATTGCTGCTCTGGGTCAAAAGTCAAAATGTCTTCCAAATGAACACCTTCCTGAATTCCAATTCTTTCTAATCTACCTGCCAACTGTCACTGCAGTTCTCTCAAAGGACAGGAAATGATGCTTCGCTGGGTCTTGCTTGCTTTGTTCTTTGGTATCTGTGCAAGTGCCGGAGACCAGAAAAAAAAGAAAGAGAAGCTCCAGTCCCTGTCAAGAGGTGGGTGATGATCCTTTATTTAAGCACTCACAACTGTAGTTTCCTTCTCAAGAATAATTAGCAAACAAAATTCATAGCTGTCAGTTGGATTTTGTGTCACAACACAAACATATAAAGTCTTGAATTTGAACTTTTCTTAAGAAGGAACTCAGTTAATATAATGAAACCATATTGTTGCTGACTTCATTATTTTTTTCCCTGCAGGATGGGGGGATAATATTAGCTGGGTCAAAAGTTATGAAGAGGGCCTGTCAAAGATGGTCAGTAGGTAAGGCTCTGCACCTTGACAACAGCCCTGAATGTTTCTTTATTCTGTCTGGATATGAGTATTTGGCTGTGAGAACAGAATTTCAATGGGAAACTGAAGTTCACGTCCTCTAATTCTTTGCTACAGCTGCACCCTCAAGGCTGGAGTCTGACAGATGGCATGCATATGAATTACTATCACCCTGCAGAAAGCAGAGCGTATCACTTACAGCTACTGAAAATACTGATTTCTATAATTACTTTGATGAGATGCCTATTATATTTACTGTATGTTAATTTTGCTTTATACATCTGTAAATAGCATACTATTTATATGCATTCTGTGTATTGGCATGGGATTTCACCCTAATTATCCTACTTATAAATCCATGAGGGTGATTAGATGGCTCAGTGTTTAAGGTTGGGGTTAAAATTTTGCATTATGCAGAACTACATCTGTTCAAGTACATTGTGCTCCTCTCATGGAATATAGCTCAATTTCTGTCCCATAAAAGCAAATTATTATTCTATTATTTTTTATCATTACTCTTTTAAAGTTTGGCATGGCAACTTCACTTTCTCAGGGACTATGTTATGCATGACTGCATTCACACCCAACACTGTGCATATTGTTCTGAAGAATGTGTCGACTGTCTCTCTGTGGTTTTCTTCTCACAGTCAGAAGCCTCTGATGGTCATCCATCATCGAGACGACTGCCCGTACAGTCAAGGTGCTGCAGCGACTATGCTTCATTACTTTTTTTTTTTAATGTATAAATATAAGCTTGCACATCCTGCACTGCCCTTCTGACCCAGACTTGGGTTTGGTTTCATGGGGAACAAAACAGGTACATTCCATAATACCTGCCAAGCAGGATACGAAATAGCAAAGAATTATATTCATAAATCACTCAGCTGGCTTCCTGGAAGTAAGCTCAATGGATGTGTCCACCAGGATTTCTTCACACATAAACAATAAAGACCACCTACAGGTCAAAGTCTGGCTTTCATTTTTACCAGCTTTGAGGAAAGAAGCAGAATATTTTGCACCCTCCATTTGAATGCCTCAACATACTGATCATTACTTCGTTAGGTTCACAACTCAGCCAAACTATCTGGGAAGAATTTAAATCATTTAGCTTATTATATTGAGCAACATGAATATCAGACATGGATATTCTGCAGGTCCCACTTATTAAAACTTGTTACTAACTTGCCCGACATCCTCTGTCCAAAAGTACAAAAGTTTGGTGCATGGGCCAAAAGTTTAAAAACACAACCTGTGATAACTGAAAATGCCTCACCCGCTTGCACATGTGCTCTTTTTTCTGTCTAATATGAAATGTTGTAATGAAACTAAACAGAATTATCTCAGCAGCACTGAAGAAGGCGTTTGTTGCTGAAAAGTCCATCCAGAAAATGGCCAAAGAGGATTTCATCATGCTCAACTTGGTGGTAATTAAACAACTGTGGTATATGAAGAAACTCTTTTCCACGGCAATGCAATATGCAACTATAGAAATCAGCACTCAAGGACAGAGTATCAAAATCCTGACTGAGTGAATAATATAAAGGGTCAATGTGATAAAACAGGTTAGCTGTATAGTGGGATTTTAAACTAGTACTTTGTTCTTTGTAGTATATATATACAGTATATATATATGTATAGTCTCTAAGCATTATATTCATTAAATATCATTACTAAATCTATATTCATTGTTTAATTAGTCAAATATTTGGAGGTGAATATTGGACAATATCAAGCATAATTATGTGCAACGAACAGCATCTAAAAATAACCATCTGCTAAATATACACACTATTTGTATTTGTAGTAATGGACAAACTGCTGTTTATATTTTATGTTTTTTTACAGGAAGACAGCAACGACAAGCATCAGGCACCTGACGGATACTATGTTCCTCGAATACTCTTTGTTGGTAAATATTTACATAATGAATCATCATTTGGTCAGTTGAAAACATTTATTTCCTCGATAAGCCTTTAAATTTCGGCAAGACTTGTTCGAATGACAAAATGAACTTCCTGCTGTGTCCTCTGTTTGGTCCAGTTTTTGGCCCTGGGCTGATTTGTATATATTTCTTTGGAATGCTTAAGAATCTCACAGTACTTTTTATGTCTTTTTAGCAGAAGAGGGATTCAAGCATAATCAATGGCATAGATATGGGGCTGATGAGAGGGAAAGGAATACAGATGAACAGACTCTGCAGTTCTGTATTCTTAATGATGGTGTGGAGAGTGTTGGGGAAACTAGGGCTGGATATTCTCTTTTATCTCAGTCCTGAATAGCCACTCTTGCAGCTGTAAGACGTCACCCCGTGGTTTTTCACTATAATTGACACCTGTCGTCTGTTTGCTTTACTCTTTCTTACATTTGCTTGCTCCACCACTTTGTCAATTTCATTGTTTTCACTGCAAGTTGCTTTTAAAGACAGTTCCAGAAACACAAGCGGTTAACTAAATAAACAGCAGCAACAGCAGAACAGCTCTGACAGTCAAATAATCGCTCTCCTCAGCAACCTTTGTCTTTCTACAGATCCGACCATGACTGTGCGCGGAGACATTGCCGGAAAGTACAGCAACCACCTCTACACTTACACGCCTGATGACATGGCACATCGTGAGTGACCATCCACTCTAATGACAGTTTACACCAGTATGAAGACACACTGAACCCACACTGTTCACTGTGTTTTGACAGAAGTGACAGACTTTATTTATGAGGTGGGTCTGACAGAGAGAACAGTTAGCAAGGGGCTTTCACAGGTTTGAGGTTTCAGCAAGAGGAGCTGGGTTTATAACACCAGTGCTCAAACTACTTTAAGTAAATTCTATTTATGTTTCAACACATTAATGTGTCCAATTTGCAGAGTTAAGTTCAATTTACCAAAAAGGAAGCAGGTTGTTTTAATGTAGAGATGATATTAATTAACAAAATAGTCAAACAAATCACTTAAAACAACACTGATCTGGCAACACTGATCAAAACAGTAAATAAATAAAGTGTTTTCCTGTAATATCATTGACCCATGAATGAGAAGTCCTTTCATATGTGTTTGAATTTGAGATGAAAAAGTCTGCATTTTGTGTTACTGAAATTTCTATCCCTATCCCTATGATCATAGTCAGTGCTGGTGTAAACAAACCTTTAACTGGAGCAGAAAACAGTAGCAGCTTAGCTTTAGTTGTTGTTTTGTGTCAGTGTATTAAAAAAAGATGTTTAATATTAATTTGATAATGATGTTTGTTGTCCTGTCAAAACAGTTTTGGTTAAAACAGGAAAACAGAAGAATAAACGGTTTGATTTGGATGACCTGTGTATGATCTTGAAAAGTGAGCAGACTTCATAGTACAAGGCTCCTCTGGGCTTCAGAAAATCTGCAGCTCTCCTTCCAAGATATATTTGTAAAACTGCAGTCACCACTTACTTTGGGCCAAGACACAATAGTAAAAACATCTATTCATACAACGTAGAGTAAGAGTATGTACACTTTGTCAAAATCTGATTCATGCAGCTTGTATAGCCTTTATTTATAAGCTATTCCACTGAGGAAAAGAGAACCTTGGTCTTTATTCATATTTGTCATTTCTTTTTCAACAGTGGCCAAAAACATGAAGAAAGCCAAAGTCCTGCTGCACGCTGAGCTCTAGCATCACTCTGCCGTCTCTCCATCCTCCAGTCATGCTGGGCTGCCTGCTAGGTGTCAGCACTCAAATGTTTACACACTGCTCAGTGATCAATAAAACTAAAATAAATGATCAGGAAGTGAAGCGTATAAGTGTTGTAATTGTGCTAATGACGTCCTGTGGGTATTGAAGGTTGCACAACTTTTGTGTTTTTTAGTTACACTTCAATTCTACTTTATATAATTTAAAAACAAAAAAGCAAACATGATATTCAGTTTTCTTTAAGAATTTAAAGGCTTCACACTGATAACACATTTAGATGTTCTTTTTATGATTGTATTGCCCCAAAGGTTTTAAAGGAATAATTTGTCATTTTAATAAGCAAACTATTGTTTTAAACTGATTTTCTTTTTAGAGTTGACAATGAATTTTACCTCCAGTTGGTCCAGTTGTATTTAGCGTGGGCCTTTTAAAAAAGGAACGTAATGAACCCATTCAGTGGCAGAAGATACAAGATACAAGAAATATCTTTTGGAAGTGAATGTGACCCCCGTGAATCAGGTTTCCACAAGAATTTGATGGACTTCATCAAAAATGCTGCATTGGAATGAAGTGGGGTTTTTTTCCATGTGATAACGACAGGGGAAGAATTTAATCTCATTGTAAAGTAACTGGAGAATGGAATGAATGCCATCTCACAGATAGTGGGGTGTTTTTGCCACTAGGTGGCAGTACAATATAAATGCCTAAAGTCTTATGTGATCAATGACTTTTTTTCCACTGAAATCTTAAAGATTATGCAGGTGAAGTGGGAGATACTTTGTGTTTGATTTTATAAATTATAAAAACTTGATCATATTTAGGATATAAGCACAGTTAATATACCGTATGTAATTATATACTTCACACATCCACTCCACACTGTAATCTCACTTGCATTATTTGGCCAGTACAACATCCTTTTACTGTATATTCCACTGTGTGTTTATCAAACACCTGTTATAAGATGAGCCGCGTCTCTGTTTCTTTTGTTAAATGGTCCTGGCTGACATCTGCAAAAATACCAGTGGTAAACAACTCAGGCTGAGACAGAAGGGAACCGTGCTGCATCGCCACAAATAGCACAGATGCAGTTTTCAGCTGTCAAAGCTAAGGATTAATAAGCTTGTTTTTAATTGTTATGGCTCCACTGTGTGCTCCATTTTTGTGCCGTCCCCTTTTTCAAAGAAAAAAAGCTGTGGAAAGGTACAGACATACAGTACATCAGCAGAAGTTAACGTTTAGCAAGCTTGCAACAGTGTCAACACACACTCAAAACCCCGAGATGCATCCTGAAGATCCATTTATTTTGCATTTCTGTGAATTCAGAGAAAATCAGAAAACAGAGAAACATTTTAAATGGGTCAGTGAGTTTCATTCCTCAATATGATTTTTCCTTAACATCTACTGAAAGAACTGATCACTGAGAAATGATTAAATTATTCACACTTCAGTTGCATTTTTTCTCCTCTCATACAGTCAGCGCTGACATCTGAAGCAATTGTGTGTCTGTTCCTCTCATGTTTTTTAGTTATCTGTCTGTCAGATGGACCCGAGATGATTCTCCAGAAACTCCTGAGAGCTTCCAACTATTTCAACTATTTCCCCCCACTTTTATTTTCTCAAGAAATGGGTTTCATAGGCTTACACTCCTGGGTTTATAACAAATGTGTCTTCTACTCAGAATTTCCTATATCCTGGGTCTGACAATTCCCTATCTGGCTCATTGTGGTGCTGTTTCAGTGCTCTGTGACAGAAATTCTGCTTCCAAAATCCTTTCCCCATTTCATGCCTCCAAAACACTGTCGTATGGCTTTAGGAATATGAAATATCTCTTGCATTACATGACAAAAAATATCAAATTATTTATCATTGGTGGAAAAATTGGGGGGGGGGTGTATTTACACACAGATACCAAGTAGCCTTCCTAAATAAGAGATGTTTGGCTGTAATGTAACTGGTTTCTATATAGTATATATGCACACAAACACATACTCCATGAACATGCACACGTAAAACACTGCAAAAAATGCTAATAGTACATGGATATAAGCAAATACCCACACACACAGTTATACCGTATATTTTACAAACTTACACATATTCTTCTAGCAATGCCAAAACTTTCTCTAGGTTACCTCTCAAACACAAGGTTGCTCCACACTTTGGAGAAATGACTTAAGGACGTCAGCATCGAATTTCAAAGAGCATTTCTTTAGAGACACACAAGGACAGTGTGACGGGAAGAAATACTAAGGTCTGATGTTATACAGGTTTGGGCTGTGTCAAAATCTCAACGAGAAAGAGGTGACACTGAAAATAGTATCCACACAGTTTCAGCTTGATCTGCAATAATTAGAATGGGCTTTAGCATGGATACTTTTATCTTGACCCATTTCAGTAAAGAGAAAATCTAAAAAATTGTGTGAGCACATTATTATTATTATTTTATTATGATTGTAAATACAAAAGTACAACCTTCTAAAATGTTCCAATGAAATAAGAGAATCTAAATCTTCATATTTTTCATTTTCATTTCCTCATTATGCAGCATAGAATTTGAAACCAGTTTTTCTGAGTTCAGTGTGAACAGGAGGTAAAGTTAAAATGTCCTGTGACATGACATTGTAAATACTGTATTTAAATAACTGGGTAGGTTTTTCAGCAGAGCCTTATAAATAAACAACATACAATGCTGCTCCCTTCTGTTTATTAAGGAGGACCGCCCAACCTTTTCATATACAACGCAATGGTGAGTGAGAAAAGTGTCACCTGTGATGAAGCACAGTGCTCTGTGATACATGGATTCAAGAGACTTTAAGGAGGAGGAGAAGCATACATATATACAATATAACCATAATCAAGAGCAGATAGAATTGTAGATTGTACAACAGTCTTTCGACTATAGAAGAGAAACATGATTTGTTACTATACTAAAATCTAAATCTTACCTTCAGTTTGCTTGATAGGTGATCCGAATGGGTCTTAAAAGTGAGTCTGGTATCCAACTAGAGTCCTAAGTATTTATTACATTCAACTGTGTCAATTTTATGACCATGAAGGGTTTGGATATGGGCAGCAGGCTGGATATTCTTTACCTAGAGAATACAGCATACATTTGGTTTTACAAGAATTTAAAAGTGTTAAACGCTGACAATAGATAGCAATCACCAGATCATGAGAAGAGCCAGTGTCATCTGCATAAAAGTGTACATTACAGTTTGGGGTGTCAGAGATGATATTGTGTATGGTATGATATTGTAAAAGAGGACCAAGTATGGACTGTTGCGAAACACCTGTACAAACACTAAGGGGACTTGACTTGGAACAGATGGAAGCTACTGTCTGAGTTCTATCTGAGAGACAGTCATGAAACTATTTAATGGACTCCTCATTACACCAACTGAGCATATTTAATCCACTAGAACATTATAATCGACTGAATCAAATGCTTTAGATAGGTCTATGAAAAGTGCAGCACAATGTTGATGATTGTCCAGGGCTTCAATAATATTGTTAAGTGAATGACTAGATTTGCTTTCTTGCTGAGAGATGAGAGGATTGACACCATTCTCATATACGTCGATTCAGTGGCACACAGTATACATAAGTAAGTAATACATCTGAAATCTCAGAATAATCCAAGCCCTCTTTATTGCATGAAGCTGTCACTTCACATTCATGTTTTGCAACATTACTTTTATAATGTTTTGCAGCATTATAGAACATTATTTATGTCACAGCTTCATTGTACTGTACCTTGCACACAAGACAAAGGTGGAAAAGCATCTTACTCTGGCCCCCTAAACTGAGAGAGGATTACTATATTATAAAAATATGAAAAGCTCAGTAAATCTGCACCTGAATCATTCATTTGCAGATTCAAGGTGAAGGTGTTTTGTTGCAACATGGAAGTGGCATAATAAAACTTAAGACATTTACAGGCACAATCCAAACCCAAACATAAACATTAGCATGGGGCTAGGACCAACATTGCTAGCTCTAACTTTCAAAAGTGGTCGTTTAATTACTTTACTAATGGTTTACCAAAAAATGTTATAAAAACAAAGCATAAAGCCTTGAATTTACTGAAAGAATTGTTACTGAGCATGCTCTCAAAGCACACACACGCACACACACACACACACACACACACACACACACACACACACACACACACACACACACACACACAAACACACACACACACACACACACACCAACACAAACACACACACTGAGGTTCAGAGATCTTCGGTTTGACTTTGGCAGTGGGGCCGTCTATGACAAGGGCACTGGGCTATTAGTCCTCGTTTGCACACTGCTTGGACAATTTAGCTATTCAAATAGAGCCCGCTTACTGGGAAACAGCTCCTTAATGAAGAGATGGCCGAGTAATGTGCCATAAATCTATTCTTTTATTCTTTCCCACACACTCATGAATACACACTGCCCGTATGCATACAGAACCATCATGTACACCTACGCATAAGCGCATACTTAAATGCAGATTTACACACACTCCTCACACACAAGGCAAGAGCGGAATGATATTATAATGTATTCCTTTATGTAATAAAGGAAGTGAGAGCAATTTTGGCCAGGTAAATCAAAAAGGTCAAAATGCAAATGTCAGCTTTTCCTCCTTCCTTTTTAATTATTCTGTCATGTTCAAAGAGCCATCATCAGAGAGGAGCTACTCTGACAAAGGAAGGCCTGAGCTCACAGATAAGCTCAATCAGCGTCTCCTCTTGACGCTTCCTTCTCCATACTTAGCCTATCTACACTCCTCTCACACACACAGCAACACTTAGCATTACCTCAAAGTAAATTACAATGTATCCCTACAACCCTGGTGTCAAAGGGATGCTTTGGCAATTACCAGTCGACTGTGGATGTTGAGTCAATTAATTTTCACTGTGGAGTGTCATCTTGTTAGCTGATTTAAAAAATAAAAAAATAAAAACTCAGACAATACAAGATTAAAGTCCAGTATTGTTAGTTGTGATCATATAGAAGTCACTAACTAACATCTGAAAGCACACGCAAACACATCTATAGAGAAAAACTTAATTAAAATAAAATTTAAAAAAGGGAAAG